GCCTCATAGCTAGGAAGTGGTGGAACTGGCATCGGAACCAGGCTGACATTAGAATCTATGTTCTGAATTATGCTGCTTCCGAGAAGACTGTCATCAATCATCATGTTGGGTAAACCTTTAATCCACAAGTACTGATGTTTGACTAACGCTCAAGAATGCTCTGCTTAATAAACAATGCCTTTAAACACCAAAATAAACAAAAGCAAAAAAGCAAAGAGGTAGGTTGGACAAGTGAAAATACTCAAAACGAAGATGATCTAAACAAATGCTTAGAATAGTAGCAGTAATCTCTTGGGCACTAGAGAATATCTCCATTGCTCCTGGGTGGCTGGAAGCAGCAACGCTAGCAAGATTTGAGATACAACAGTTCTTCCTTAGATTTATGTGACAGAAGTCACTTGGGATGATGGCAGTTTCTCCTCCTACAGTCTGTCCCTCCTGGAGACCCAATAATGAAGATTAATATCTGTGTGGTGCTTGGAGTGTAGTCAGCATTCACTCCTATGGGGCATCTGCAGACACATCCTGGGAAAGGTCTGGGGCCAGGGTCATCTGTTTTCTAAGATCAGAAACCTGAGGTTCAGAGAAGCACAGTGACCTGCTCAAGGTCAAAGGTCTAATAAAAGCTAGATTTAAACTATATCTTCTGAATGTTTTTCAAATGCTATTTTCACCTCCATGGGTCATTTTCATCCCTGGTCTAAATTAGAAAGAACAGAGATTAAGGCTTCTTGGAAGCAAATTTCTAGACTCCTGAGATGTGTATATACTACAGTTAAAGAGGCTAGAAGATGGGTTGGCAAAAAACGCCCAGCATTTAAAAAAAATAACAGGAACAGATTTATTGAGATATAATTTACAAATCATAAATTCACCCTTTTAAAATGCATGATTTGGTGGATTTTTATACATTCACAACTACATCAGCACTAATTAATTCCAAACACTTTTATCACCACAGACAGAAACCCACAGCTATTGCAGTTATTCTTTGCTCCAGCTTTATGGACCTCTAATCTAATAGTGCTTCTGTGGATTCACCTATCCTGGACGTTTCTTGTAACTACTGTCATTCACTAGGTGGCCTTTTGTGTCTGGATTCTTTTACTTACATCATATTGTTTCCAAGGTACACTTATTATTGTAGGATGTAGCAGCACATCATTCTCTTTATAGCCAAATAGCATTCCATTGGTTGATATACCACATTTTATTTATGCACATATCAGCTAATAGAAATTTGGGGAGTTCTAATTTGGGGCTATTATGTGCTATGAATAGTGCCACTGTGAGCGTTCAAGAACAGGTTTTTGTCTGGACACATGTTTTCATTTCCCTTGGAGATATGCATAGGAATAGAAGTGCTGGGTCATATCATAATTCTATGTTTAGTTTTGGCAGAGATGCCAGATTAGAATAGTTCTTTATTATATTTGTTCCCTTATTATTTACTATTCCATTTAGTCTATTTCCAAAGTAATTATATCATTTTTGCACACCTACCAGTATGAGGGTTCACATTTCTCCACATCTTCCTAAACTTACTGTTATCTGATGTTTTTATTATAGCTATTTTAGTAGATGTGAAGTAGTATCTCATAGTTTTGAGTTGCATTTCTCTGATATCTAGTGATGTTGAATATCTTTTCATGTACGTGTTGGCCAGTTGTATACCTTTTTTGGAGAAATGTCTATTTATATCTTTTGCTTACTTAATTAGGTTGTTTTTTTACTGTCGAGTATAGGAGTTTATTAATATATTCTAAAAATAAGTCCCTTATCAGAGATATGATCTACAAATATTTTTTCTCATTTGATTGGTTGACTTCTCATTTTTAATAGTATCCTAATAAATACCATAGTTTTTAATTTTGATATAGTCCAATTGATCTATTTTTTCTTGTATTTTTAAATATGACTTGTATTTTTCATATTTTAAAAAAATTGCCCAATCCAAGATCACAAAGATTACAGAGGTTTTCTTTAAGAGTTTCATACATTTAGGGCTATGATCTATTTTGAGTTTAGTTTGTATGTGAAATGAAAAGAACTTCAAATGGGCATGGTGGTGCATACTTGTAATACCATCTACTCAGGAGGCCGAGACAGGAGGATTGCAAGTCTGAGGTCAGCCTAGGTAACTTAATAAGACCCTGTATCAAAATAAATATTAAAAAAGGGTTGGGAAGCTGGGGATGTAGAGGCACTCTGGGTTTAATCTCTAGTGCCACTAAAAGAAAGAGGAGGAGGAAAAATGAGAAACGGAGGAGAAAGAAAAAGAAAAGAATGTCATTCTCTTGTATATGTATATCCAACTGGTCCATTTGTTGAAAAGTCTATTCTTTTCCCATCAAACTGATTTGCCAGCCTTGTACGATATCAATTGATCACAAATGTAAGGGTTTATTTCTGTATGCTCAATTCCATTCCATTGATTTACATGTATGCCCTTATTCAGTACCACAGTATCCCGATAGCCATAGTTTTGTAGAAAGTTTTGAAATCAGGAAGTGTAGTTCTTGAACTTTGTTATTATTTTTCAACTGTCTTAGCTATTCTGGTCCCCTTGGTATTCTATATGCAGTTTAGGACCAGCTTATCCAAATCTGAAAGGTTAGAAAGTAGGGGGAGAAAAAGGCACCTAGGATTTACACAATGTGTGGATCGGTTTGTAAGGTCCTTGCTTAGCATCTGCACTGCCATCTTAAGTGACAGATGCCATTTTAATGAAAAGGTTTTGCTTTCCCGCCCAAGGGCATTTCTGAGAAAGACTCACCACTCCCTCATACCAACACAACCCCTAACAGCTGTATTAGGACACACCCAGCTCTGATCCTGAGCCTCCCCCAATAAAGTCCTGAAACCCAAGCCTGTTTTGCCTCTCTCTCCTATAGAGAGGTGGCTTTTACTTGTCCCCTCTGACAAATAAACTCTTTCGTGTGTATTTCTGCCTGGTCTCCGTCTTTCATTTCTGGCTCACCCATCTCTCGTTGCTTGCTTTCCCTTCAACAGGCATTTTAACAATTTTAGTCTTCCAATCCATGAACATAGGTTATCTTTTCATTCATTTAGTTCTTCTTCAATTTCTTAGAATATTTCATAGTTCTAAGCATACAACCCTTGCATTAATGTTGTTAAGTTTATATCCTAAGCTTGCGTTCTTTTTTATGCTACAAGTTTTTTTCTAGACGTGTTTTAAGTTCTCTTAGCTATATGCGCAGGAATGGAATTGCTGAATCATAGTAGATGAAACTGCTTTCCTAATTTTATTTTTGGAGTTTTCACTGCAAATGTATTAGAAATGTAATTGATTTTTGTATATTGATATAGTCTCCTGAAACCTTGCTAAACTCCATTTATTAGCTCTAAAACTTCACAGTAGATAGCCTAGGATTTTTTTTTTTATATATATATATTTGCTCATGTCATCTGCAAATTCAGGTAGTTTACTTTTTTCTTTCTATCTGGATGTCTTCTGCTTCTCTTGACTAATTACCTTAATTGGGACATCCAATACAATGTTGCAAAGAAGTGATGAGAGCACCTGTCTTATTGCTGAATCTTAGGGAGAAAACATTCAGTATTTAACTATTAAGTAGACACTAGCGCTGTGTGTGTGTGTGTGTGTGTGTTTCATTTTGTCCTTTATTGATAATTTTTGTTTCTTTGTTTTTGTTGTTGTTGTTGTTTATTTTGGGTATTTTTGTAAATGGCTTTGGTTAGGTGAAGGAAGTTCCCTTCTATTCTTTGTTAAATATTTTTTGTACAAAACATGTATACTCAGAAAAAATGAGAAATTATACCCAATCTATGTATGATTTATCAAAGTGCATAAATGCATTCTACTGTCATGTATAACTAATTTTTTAAAAATTAAAAAAAGAATAGCATTAAACTGAAAAAAATATGTTGATTTTATCAAATGTTTTTTCTGCATCTATTGAGATTATTATATACTTTTTGTCCTTTATTCTATTGATACGGTGTATTACATTAGTTGATTTTTGTATGTTATACCATTTTTGTTTCCTGGGAAAAATCCCACTTTACCATATTTATGACCTTTTTTTTGTTGCTGATTCAGTTTACTGGTATTAGAATGTTTGTACAGATACTTCTCAATTTACAGTAGGATTATATCCTGATAAATCCATTGTAAGTAAAAAACATCTTGTGTTTAAAATGCATTTAATGCACCTAACCTACCAAACAACATAACTTAACCATAGAGTGTACTGCCGAGTATCGAATATTTACCCTCATGATTATGCAGCTGACTAGGAGCCATGACTCACAGCATTCTGAGAGTATCATACTGCATATTGCTAAATTGGCTAAGTTGAATACTCAAAATATGGCATGGTAAAAATGGTAAAAATCATATCATATTTAGTAGGATGCATATTCATATTTATATCATTGTAAATGTGAAAAATCATAAGTCAAACCATCCTAAGTTGGAGACCGTCTGTATCTATAGTAATAAGAGCTATTGATCTGTAGTTCTTTTGTGATGTCTCTGTCTGGTTTTGCTATCAGTGTAATACTGGCCTCACAGAATGAGTTGTAAAATGTTGCCTCCTCTTCTACTCTTTGGGAAGAGTCTGTGAATGATTGATATTAATTCTCCTTTAAAGGTTTTTTGTAGTTTAGCAGTGAAGCCATCTCAGCTGTGGCTTTGTGAGTGTATGTGGGGGTGGGTAATTATTTCTTGATTAATAATTCAATCTTTGTTATAGATCTACTTGGAATGTTTTTGTATTTTGGATCCTGATTATTATTATCACCATGGCAGTAAAAAATATTTGAAATCATAATCCACAAAGAATTCAGGTTGGGTGGCCATTTAGTCTTGGTTTTATGGTTCTTGAGTCTCTGCTTTAAGAGTCTTAAGATCTCAAATTATTTACCATTTATTATGTTAGTTTTCCTCACTGTGATAAAATACCTGAGATAATCAACTTACAAAGAAAAAAGGATTTATTCTGGCTTACCATTTCGGGGTTTCAGTCCATGGTCATGTGATCCACTGTGTTTGGATCTGTGGCAAGGCAGGCATCATGGTGAGGAGCCTATTGTAGAGAAGAGCTGCTCATCTCAGGGCAGCTAGGAAACAAAATAGGGAGAGAAGTAGGGGTCCCAATGGCCCCTTCAAGGACATGCTCCAAATGAGCTAGCGAGGTCCCACTACCTCCCAATAGCATAAGGGTCTTTTGGAAACACCTAAATCCAAATTGTGATATCTAGGTTACAAAGCACAAATTTAACATGAATAAGAAAACATACAGAGAATCATAAAGAAGTGAGGAATTGATTGAGAAGAGAAATAAAGAGGAGATGTGCCAGGTTTTAAAGTCCACTGTAACAGAGGAATGCCAGTTCATGCCCAAAGTTGCTCCTGGGGAGTTCCTCTAACTCTAGTCCCCAGTGATGGACCTTGACCCTTTTCTACCAGCCAAGGTTACCTGTCCAGAGAAAGAACTTAATCCAGGAGCAGGGTTCATCCTGGAGCAACCTGAGGTCAGTGACTTAAACCAGCATAAAAAGGTGAGCTGTGTCAACCAGACTCTCTTCTGGAATCTGAATTTGGGGAAGCGAACTGAGAGAGCTGCCAGCCCAGCCAGTTGCTAAAAGACTTGTCCCGGGTATTACCTTGAGGTCAAGGTGGCACTGGAGATCCCAGGGCAAGCCAAAGTCATGTGGATGCCAAAGTCATGAGGAAACAGAAACTGTGGAGTAGAGAACACGCTGATCAGTAAAGGAGTCAACCCTCACAACAGGCAGCCACAGCATGAGAAAAAGACCGTTCAACCAAAACTAGAGTGGTGGAACAGAGAGTCCTGGAGTCTTCCTGGGAACGTGGTATCGTGCCAACCTCGGTCTAAATCCATGCGTAACCTTTGTGCCACTCCTTGCCCCTGTTTTCCTGATGACTCTTTGAAGGCTGTTGTTTACACACTAAGATCGACAGTGAAACAGACTTGGTTAGGCAGAGTGGAAGGGAAAGAAGTTCAGGATCCCAAATCAGCATGGATGGCATCATAGAGATGGATTTCTCATGGACTACCCAGGGAAGGGCAGAAAGAGGACTTTTTAAAGTAGGAGATTCCAATGGTCCACACACCTAGATTTTTTAATAGTCTAAACTGTGTATTGGGTGAATGAATGAAAGTAAACAAGTTGGGCTCTCAGAATCAGGACTCAAGACTTGAGGCAACAGGAAACCTCAGTTGTTTGGAACAGGAAGGTGATACCATCAATCAGGCATCTGAAAAATCACACAAGGTTTGCAAAGACATTCCATCCCCAACAGTGGAGCAGGCTGGTCCTGGTGTCACAGTGCTGGACCGAACAAGTCCAACAACACACCGGCTGAGGAGACAAGAAGGCAGTGCATGCTGGGAAGCAGAGCCACACTGTAGTGAGGGCTGAGGGAGGCATCCTCCCAGACATATCAGAAGCTAAGAAGTGGCCAGAGCCACCAGCCAGGGAGGCCACTGTGGGGAATGCTGCTCCTCTTTCTGACTGCCTGGAAGTAGTAGCTCTAAGTTTCTATGCAAACTCACCGTCAGCTCTCAATGGGCCCATTAGAACAGGGCTGTTGGCCTCCTGTGGACTTCCTTATAGAACTCAGATGTCACACGTAGACCCGTGACAGTTGTGTCCTCATCCTGTCAACTAGGCATCTGTAAGACAAGCACCACAATGGTCTGTCTCACTTATGTGGAGTCTAAAAAGTCAATCAAGTAGAAAGTAAAATGAAGGTTACCAGAAGCTGGGGTGGGTCTTTGGTTGGGAAGATGAGGAGAGATACTGGTCAAAGGATAAAAAAATTTCGGTGACAAAAGAGGAATAAATTGAAGAGAACTAGGTACAATAAATTGAAGAGAATTTGGTGACTGTAGTTAATGACAATATTTTGTATCCTTGAAGAATACAAAGAATACAAAGAATGCAGATGTTGTGTTCTTATCACAGAATGATAACCGTGTAAGGCAACATTTGTGAATTAGCTAGATTTCGCAACTTCACAAAGTACATATACTTCAAAACATCATGTAGTACATGATAGACATATAATTTTATCTGTGAATTAAAAAAAAAACATGAAACATGTATGTTCTGTAAATTCCTCCTTTTCTGGACCGCCAAGGTTTCTTTCTCAACCCATAACACAGGTTGGATAAAGACTTACTTCTCCCAACCCCACTGTTTAAAGACCCACCCTCTCCAAGATGACCTTGGAGGTTATAAATAGAGTGTTTTGTTTTGCATACCCAGCAAGGAGCACAGAGAGTATCTCCCCCAGGGCACCAGGTGCATCTCCTGGGCCTCCTGGCTTTGCTCCCTGGGCTCCTGTTTCTTATCCCTCGGCTCTGGAGGCAGGCATTGGTGTCCATCTGGGTTAATCCCATCTGCCATCCAGCTGTGGTTGGACTCTGCATAAGGGTAAAGTGAAAGCAGCGTGGTTAAGACCCCAAGCCTGGGAGGGGCAAGGAGGACTCGGAGAGGAGGCCAGCAGAGAAGAGATACAGGCAGCATCTGCTGGTGAGGGACCGAGGTGTGGGACCACCCCAAGTACCAGTCGCCCCTGCAGCAGGTAGGACACAGCCTGCCCAGCACAGATCCGGAGGAGGAGTGGCTTCGCCTCCGTAGCCTCCCACACCCTGACTGCATTAAAGGCCACACTGGGCCCACAATGACTTTTTGATGAAGTGGATGCCGCATCCTGCAGGGCCAACCGTCTCAGGGAACAGAACAGCTCAGCAGAAAGCAGATCCTGCTTTCCAATCTGCTCTTCTCTTGTCTGCTTGCTTTTAAAAGTGTGGCTTCTGGATGCCACTTTCATTCTAAGCCACCTATAGCTTCTCAGCTGGGTAGGGTGGTGTTGGGGAGTTGGGGGGGCGGGGAATCCAGCAACAGTCACTGCCAAGTGGCTGGGCTTCTGTGAGAACACCTATGGATGTATACTGTTCTGGGCAAGAACAGAACAAAGTCGCTTTTATCTGCTGCTTTCCAAAGGCCTTTGTGTGCTTTAGAAGCTGGGTATTATTGCATTATTAAAGCCCCAGTGAGCCAGCCAAGGCAAGGATACACCAGAGCTGTCCCAAGCAGCCTCGGCTAGTTCAGACTTAGCCTGTGACCCTGTCTGACTCCTGGCCTGTCTTACCACCAGCCAAGGAAGGCAGGAGAAGAGGAGGAGCAGGAGAGGCTGGCCCTTACTGAAGGTGCCCCGCTTCTCACTGAACTGGTCCAGCCAGTTCCCAGGAATTATTCTAAGCATGATCCATTTTGCCAATACTGTGTTTCTTAAAGCACCAGCAGCATAAAGCAGCGCAAAACAATTGCATAAGATCACATCTGCAATCAGATTTCCCAGGGTTCAGCTAGCAATGTGGGAGAGGTTGGGAGGACCAAGTGTTCAGTTCTCTGTGTGTCCTCCCCAAGGGGCTGGGGACTGGGGAACAGCCTGGGGCATAGTGTGCTCAGGGCAGGTTTGCTCTAGTTTGCTCAGATTCCTAGTTGTAACACCTGTGAGCTTTGTCATCTCTGGCCCAGCTCTCACAGAGGAGAGGAAGTCAAAAGAGGCAAGGTGATTTGTCCAAGGTCGCACAGTGAGTTGTTCCCCGCTCCGATAACCACAGCTTGGACACACGCTGAGCACGCGTGGTGTGCCTTCTCCAGGTCCACAGGCACAGATGACCTTTAAATGGCAGTGGCAGTTTCACATCAGTGTTTGGAAAGATAAGCCCCCAGAAGTCCAGGACTGTATTTTTCATGGGTCTTAGGTGGCACCCAGTGAGGATTAGGTATATTGAAGACCTTACACTTCGGGGGCAACCATGAAAAATATTATCAACATCCCTTCTCCAACTAGCTCCAGTGTGCCTTATTCGCATGTAAATGTGGAAAAACAGTCCCAACTGGAGAGGGCACAGTTTCACAGAAAAGCAGAGGGCCACCATGGGTGGGGCAGCCCCTGCACTCCGCAAAGGATTTGGCTGCGAGATCTAGCAATGGCCAAATCCCAACCTGCCCTCCAGTAACGGGGCCCGCCCCTGGCAAAATGTTCATCTTTCTAGCCTTACGTCACGTTCACCTCTGTGTAGAATAGCTTCCTTCTGTACCAGCCCTTCCTCTGTAATTCCCCTTCTACCTCATTCTTGTGTTATCTACTCAAAGTTTCCCTTTCTAAAATTTATGGTTTCCAAGTGTCCTTCTTAAGTGATAATGACCAGTCTTGTGGTAAGCCTGGCCTGCGGTGCACTGTTTGAAGCCCCCCCCCCCGCCCCCCCAGCCCAGCTACTTGTTCCACTTTTTGGACATGATTTTCCCACAAGACACATAGCTCTCTGTCCCCATGCCACTTCCTCCAGGGGGCCTTCCCTGACCTTCTCTGTCCCTCCACACAACCTACCACAGTGAGCGAGGTTCCTCTCCACAACACCTAGGCGTTCCCCAGAAAGTTCTCAGTCTGCTGGTTGAAAATGATCTAGCCTATCCTTGTCTCAGCTCTGCTCTGCCCCGTATGGGTATGGTAGCTATCAGCATGTAAGGCACTGAGCACTGAACTGTGTCTAGTCTGAATAGAGAGATGTGTCGTAAATGTAAAATACATACTAGACATTAAATGCCTGAAAAAAAAATGATGTAAAATATCTCAGTAATCATCTTGATCTCAACTATCTGTTGAAATGATGCTATTATAGATGTACTGGGTTCAGTTTAAGATAGGATTAAAATTACTTTCTCTTGTTTCTTTTTTTCTTTTTGTAATGTGATTAATGAGGAAAAAATGTATTTGTATTTCATTATATGGAATATGTTTATATTACATGAATTGCATTAAGTGTAATGCATATATGTAAGACACACACACATGTGATATTATAACATAGATTACATTACATTTCTATCATTCTATGCTGCATAGACTGGAAAGTTCCAGGTGTCAAGTACTATGTTAACTTATCTTTGTACCCCCAGCATATAATGCAGACACACGTTGGGGTGTTGAGAAAACATTTTACAAGTGTCACCTGTGTTGTCACTCTCCCCTCCCACCTGGCTGTCTCTCTTAAGATGCTTTGAATGCCCTGAGCCTCACCTGTCAAGCACATGGCAAGAGGCAGGTGCAGAATAAATGCTAAAAAAATAGAAGTAAACATTTTATCTAAACATGCAGAGAGAAAAATGTTTAAAATTTAGTCTATTTTAATCCTACTTGGGGACCGTAGATATGACATTGACACTTTATAGGTGGGAAAAGATTAAAGTATCTGGAACACCCTGGAAGAATTTTTCCAAGCCAAGATAAGGGGTCATCAGGCTTTTAGATGAGGGGCAAATGTCCTAAAAAGTTGATAATTAGAAAAACAGTTCTGGGCTCTGCAAATAAACACAGGAAAAAATACATAGAATACAGACTAACATTCACCACAATATCAAGTAATTGTCTAACTTAGTAAGTTTTGATCAATTCAATGTTAATTCTAAACTTTAAAAAATATTGTATTATTAATATATGAATAAAATAGGAATTGTAGTACAATATTTTATTTTCTGTACTCTTTACTGGTGCATTGGTGTAGATGCCAGTTATCCACTAAATGAGATATCAGCAATAAATCTTTTCTCCTTAAATGTAAAACAAGCAAACCAACAAATAAAACTGGCTCATTGTAAAAGAATTTTGTAAAGGCCTCAAACCTCACAATTATATAGATTTTTTTTTTCCGTGCTAGGAATTGAACCTAGGGCCTCACTCATGCTATGCAAATGCTCCACCACTGATCACATTCCCAGACCAAATACACAGAAATGCTTAAAGCAAAAACTCAAGAGTCCTCTGTGGTCCTGTCTATGCGGCATAAAATGATAGAAATGTAATGTAATATATGTTATAATATCACATGTATGTGTGTCTTTATAATTGTCTTAAAAAAATAAACCAATAACCACAAATGAAAAGTTGGTGTTCCTTCAAAGCCTTTGTGTTGGTTTTTTTAAAATATTCTATTCTAAATATCAGTCTGCAACTTACTTTTTAAATGTATTAATCAATTGCCAACATTTTTCTGGGTTAGTATATATAGATCTATCCCATTCTTTCTAGCACAGCATTCCTCCTCTTGACACAAGCCCTTACTGCTATGTATTAGCAAAAAGGACAAATACCTTTTCACTGTCATAAATAGACACTAACAAACAACTTCAGACATGTCTTTGTAATGAACAAAAATAGTTTCACTTATGTCCAATGAGGATGGTGCAATCAGAATAGGATCATCTATATTTTTTTTAACAAAGGGTGTAGAGGGTGCAGAGAATGGAGGGGGATGCCCACAGTGAATTATTGAGCTTGGTTTGAAGGTGTTTGTAATACTGAAAGAAAAGTCCACTTCACAGGGACTTGTCTTCTAGTTCCATAATTCTAAAAGTGCTTCTTTTTAATTTAACCTAAATTAATTTCATCTGAAGTCTCTATTTTGGATTGGTCTGTGTGAAGTTCAAGAACATTATCTTAACCTAGGTCCCAAGAGGAACTGCAATTGGAAATATTTTCTCTGGTCTGGTGTTCCCTGCATTACTTTCCACTTTTTCCTATTGAGGGACTTACAGATTCTTTAGTAACACAGATAACTGTGGTTTGAAATTAAAACAACAGTATGTCTTT